CTTTTACAATGTTTTAGATAATTTATTGGTAATCCCCAACATAATTCTCATAAGGTGTAGGCAAAACACAAATTAAATGAGGAGCACGCATCAGCTGACGAGCTGCATACTTTTGTTCATAAGTTACTCCATCTTTGTTTATCATCTCAAGCAAATCTAACACAAACGGAAAGAAGGCATTATACGACCAAAGTCCCATAGTGTGATCCCCAACGTGTGTCACGTGCTCTAGCGAGAGAAGTTCTTGATTGAGACCTCGACCACTTGGGATTTCATCTGAATTAAATGCTTTAATAACTTTCACAGTCTGTAGTTCCCGAAGCAGATCATGGCGTTTTCATGAACCTTATTATTAATAAACATTAACAATAATTAATAAACAAACAAATACCTTTATTGACAGATGAAAATTCAAAAACGCAAAACATACCTAGCTGAAACTCGGGAGGACTAAGGAATGAGAGGAGATAAAGTCATCGGCACTGGTTCCAAGCTTGCAGTGGGCGGAGAGAGCCCAGAGGAGGCTGTGTCACAACTTAGGTTATCCAAGTCTCAATCGACTTGCACTTCACCATTTTCAAGTTTAAACCCATAATTCCAATTTCCCAATTCAAAATGTCGAAGCTAAAGGCATTCCAACACCTAATTACAGTAATCTAGTGATGGAACGCTACACAAAACTCATTGCAACACACGAATACAGTAATCAACACCCAAATAACCCCAAATCCTTTTATTACTCTTTGAAAATTGAAAACAAACCACAAGAGTGGTGCCTGATTGGTTTGACTGATTGGTTTGAGCTTGGCTCCAAAGGTTAAAAGTACTAGGAGGTCTCAAGTTCAAATCCAAGGAGGAATAAAAATTTTCTTGTGCCCACGGAGGTTCAAATGCGGTGACTCCGGGTTATCTGCAAAGCAGGTGGTCGCCCTGAAATTAGTCGACTCGCATAGCAAGTTGGATATCCAGGTTAATAAAAAAAAATTGAAAACACCAAAACCCTTGATGATTTATATAAACTCAAAGAATCCACAAAAGAAAACCGATCCAAAACTCAAAAATACTACTAGATTAAGAACCAAGGAAGGTTTTCACCATCAATTCCACATCTCAACAATATTTGATCATTTAATGAGGGTAAAACCCCAAATATTCTCCATTTTACACTATTGATCCCCTAAAATACATTGATTCAACAATTCAACCCTCATACTTTCACTTTATTTTAAATGTAAGAAAAAACAGATCATTACAGCCTCTCTTCCTTAACAGAATTTCTTCCCATAATTCGTTCAGCCGAATCATTGAAGTACTTGGATTTCATCACAAATTCAGGCACCCACATTGCCTCTTGTCTCTTATGATATTTCCACTGAACCTTCACAAGTCCAATATCTTTGCTCTTACAATCTTTTGTCCAATTGCATATCTTGCAATGGCACTCTAGCTGGAAACTCTTTGATAATAAAGAAGTAAATCCACCATCATGATCCAACACAACTGACAACAGCACTCTCTGCCTAGACACAAAGAAAATGTTTAGTCAATCTCTCCATAGAATACGCCTTCCTAACTCGTAAGAAACGAGACAACTTAGAACGCTAATTAACAATCACCCAAACAGCATCAAAGCCCCAGGGCGTCCTTAACAACGCTGTCACAAAGTCGTTATAAAATAATCTATTTTCACACTGAAATATCTAACAACTATAGCTTCTCTTTCAACACAAACGATGAAATATCAAAGCCCGTGTATAAAAAATTAGCCTTTTATAAAAGCTTTTTAAAAGATATTGTAATCAACAATTTTTTTTAATAATACGATTAATATACTAAAATAAATAAAAATACATTACAACAATATAATTTTTTCTTTAAACATTTATTTTTTGGACAAGTGAATAGATTAATGTTTCAAGGTATTTCCAATCCAATACTAAAAATATTAAAAACAAAAAATATGGTAGTGTTTTCATCTCTAATTCAACACTAAAAACATAGAGATCTAACCACAAGGGTGGTATCTGATTGTTTGAGTTTGGGCTCCAAAGGTCAAAAGTGTCTGGAGTACCTAGGTTCAAATCCAAGGAGGAATAAAAATCCTCTTGTGGCCACAGAGGTTCAAATGCAGTAACTCCGAGCTACCTGCAAAGCATGTGGTCGTTCTGGGATTAATAGGCTCGCATAGCAGGTTGGATATCCAGGTTAATAAAAAAAAATAAAGGTTCTTAAAACTTACCAACTATATTTGGAGGTCAAGTATAATATCAGTTTCTATAATCACACACACACACACACACATATATATATATATATATATATATTTATATATATGACACCCTAGAATCACATTCGCATATAAACATATATATTCATATATCAAGAAATACAACTTCACAAATTCGATCCCAAATGTATACAAAAGCTACAATACGAAAGTAGCTACCAAATTTTTCCATCTAATTCAATACAAAACTTGAATACATAACAAGTATTCAAATACAAAAGATAACATATCTTTCCAACATCTCATGCAAACAAATGTAAATTTTTCACAATTTTCTTTTCCCCTTATCGACTGATCGTGCCCGACCTGTAATGCACATTTTCAAAACACCAAAATGAGAGTTAGACCTTGAGGTCTAGTGATAAATCCATCTTATTGCTATTACAGGGTGAAAATCAACAAAATATTTTTTTTATAAAACCCTTAATTGTATAAATAACAAATAAACATTGGTTTATTGAACAAAGCTCTTTTGTTGCATCAAGATGATGAGACAATACTCATTTATCACATCAACCAATATAATAACTCATTTATCGCATCACATAACAATTTGATGCATTAAAGTAAACAAGTCATAAAGTTGTTGCATCCAACAGATACGATAACAATAACTCCTCGCATCATACACATGCAATAACCTACATTTGTTGCACCTCAAGGATGTGATAACCACCTTTTGTCTCATTCAACAGATGCGATAACAGTAATTTATCGCACCATATATATGCGATAACTATAACATGTCGCATCACAAGGATGCGATAACCAATACTTTAATTTTTATCCCAATTTCATCGCATCACACTCATGCGATAGAATCAATCTTATCGCATCATATAGATGTGATAACAGAATCACATGATCATTTTTCCATAATTTGATTATGCTACCCTTATCCCAGTATACCTAGCTCTTGATTGTGTCACCCTTATTATAAAAATATACCCAACTCCCAATTATGTCACCCTTATACCAAAAATTACCCATCTACTGACTATGCCACTTTTATTACCAATTAATACCCAGCTCCTGATTATGTCACCATTATTACAAACATATAATAATATCATATCAAAACCCAAAAATTTATGCATATAATCATCAATTACTCAAGTTTGAAACCTTACGGTTTCTTCACTAAAAAGCAAGAAATTGATGTTTTATAAATATAACTCACCGTATAATCACAATGCAGGGACGTTCTAATTTTTTTGGAGGTCCTATTACATCCAAAACTTTTGATTACATTGTATAAATGAAATAACAGAGAATATATGTTAAGAACAAAAATGGGCTAAATCTAAAACGATTAACAATCTGAAACTACCCCTAAACCATTAATGATTTGAACATAAAACCAAAAATTATGGTTTGAGCCTAAATAATTTCGGTTATAGTTTTACACAGGTCGATAAAAAGACCCTAAACACATGTAAATTTAGACCCCAAAATTTCGGGGGCCCTATTCAAAATCTCACATTTTACATGCTAAGGAACGTCCCTGTCACAATAGGACGAAGATATGAAGATGTATAACAGCAACAAATTTCAGGTTGAGAATCACAAAATTCAGTTCTTCTTTCTTGCTCTTCGGTTATGTTTTCAGGAGTTCAACACACACAAAAGCTTTTTCTCACTTTCTTTTTAATTCTTAACATCCCAATGAGATATATCAACCTCGAACTTTATAACCGATTATCACAATATATTAATTAATAGTTTAATATATTAAGTAATATTAAAGATGTTCTTTAATATTTTTTAATGTGTGATTGAGTTGATTTTTTATAAAAATTCACTATTTTTAATATTTTATTTTTAATTGTTGAGTTAAAGATGGTCTTAACGTGTGAGAGATAACTAGTAAATTTGAGGAAAATTTATTAAAATAGTCATCGATGGATTTTATTTTTTAACCATTTCTCTCCCAAATTACGAAAATAGTCATAGGTCTGCAATTTATATAGATGTCAAAGTGTAAAGAAAATGAAGTTTCTTAACTAGGTCCGCAATTAAAGGGACCAAATATGTAAATAAGTTGATAGATGTGGAGGATGAGTTTTTTCTCTTTAATTGCGGACCTTCGAGAACTTTATTTTTTTGTACACTTTGATCTCTCCATAAATTATGAATCTGTCAATTACAAACCTCTGGCTATTTTTATATTTTTAAGAAAGAAATTACTAAGGGGCCGTTTACCCGGTAAGTGATTACCGATATGATTCAACATTATAATTTATTTTGATACGTAAGATTTTAATACATAAAAACATATCAAATGCAACAAGTTACTGGGTAAGTGTTTACCTGGATAAAAGTCTTAATCTTTACTTACCGGGTAAGACTCTCTATCATTTTCATTGTTCTTACTTGGTAAGATTCTTGGTCCTTCTCATATTTATCCGATAAATACTTACTAATTAAATGTTTAGTAAACGACCCTTAAGATGCGAAACCATGGGGTTGAAATATATATTACTTTCCTTAAATTTGAGCATATCTAGGATATTTTTTAATTTTAATTTTAATTTTAATTTTAATTTAATTTAATTTTATTTTATTTTCCCTTTATCCGATGCTTACATAAATAGTAATAAGAAAAGCAATTAACTAACTATGGTTAAGTTAACTGTAGTTTAGGATAACACTTGTCAACTGAAATCTCCTATAAAAAGCCCATTCCTGCCTTGGTGTCAGACATATCTTCCATCACCTCCATTTTCATCAATCAAATTCCTACGTTACATATCCAAATTTGACGTTGATCTACGTCACTTCATCTCATCTTCTCTCCGATTTTCCGATCACCGGTAAGTTTTATTGCTTTTTATGGTAATTCATGTGTATATTGTGTGAGTGTGTGTGTCTGTGGTTTCAATATGATCATTGATTGTTGGTGCAGACATAGATCGTGAAAATGGCGTCACAAGGGACGGAGAACGGGGAATTTAGCTTTCCTAGAACGCCGAAAGGACGGAACGGACTTCCGAAGATTCAGACGCATGGCAAAAAGGAAGACCAGATCTGTCATGACGATAGTGGACCGCCGGTAAAAGCTCAGACGATCGACGAACTGCATTCACTTCAGAAGAAGAGATCTGTTCCGACTACGCCGATCAAAGGCGGAACTCAGCCAGCTTTTAATGCTGTTTCCGAAGAAGAACGCCAGAAACAGCAGCTTCAATCGATTAGGTTTTATTGTGCTTCACTTTCCGTCAATTATACTTTAGTCTTAAAATTTTACTGCTAGTTTTGGTACTGGAAAGAAAAATTAAATTGCTAATTTTGGTAATTAGTGCATCGTTGGCTTCGTTAACGAGGGAAACGGGGCCGAAGGTGGTGAGGGGAGATCCGGATCGGAAACCTGAAACTCCGAGAGCTCACGTGACTCACCAACACCATCACGTGCACGCTCCTACTCTGAGTACCAGTGATAGTTCTCTCAAGTTCACCCATATCCTCTACAACCTATCCCCTGCTGGTACATATTCCATGATCTTCGTTTTTTTGTGCCATATAAATGAACCAATAAAAAGAACACAATAATTAATCGGTGAAAACAACTACTCGATCAGGTGAAATGCTTATTTTGATCATCTATGTTCTGCATTTTTGTAAATTATACAGAACTTTACGAGCAAGCCATAAAGTATGAGAAAGGATCGTTCATAACATCTAGTGGTGCTTTAGCCACGCTCTCTGGTGCGAAAACTGGGCGATCACCGAGGGATAAACGCGTTGTCAGAGACGAGACAACCGAAGATGAACTTTGGTGGGGAAAGTAAGTTCACCAGGCCTAACCAAACCCCTTTTCTAAAGAAAATTTACCTTTCAAAATTAGGTGAAAACAAGGGATAAATCACATAAAATAATGATGTGTTTTGTACTCGTAGGAGGGAGACTACTTTACACTACCAAAAAAAATGGTTTATCCAACATTTTAAGAAGCTTGTAGAATACTTTTTTAAATAAATTTGTCCACTTAAACTTTTTATAACGTTATTTAAAAAAATGTCTCTAAAAATGTTATACAAGTTTATAATATTTAAACATCTTTTACGTTGTAAATCTGAATTTGTTGAAGTGATATGTTATATTTTTCTGTAATTTATTAAAATTTCACTTGGTTGATGATGGTGAAATTTTGAATGTTTGCCTAAAAACAGGGGGTCTCCAAATATTGAGATGGATGAACACACTTTCTTGGTGAACAGAGAAAGAGCTGTGGATTACTTGTGCTCGCTTGATAAGGTCATTTCATCCTTTTCTTTATTCCAAAAGCATGAACCTACCTTTTCTCTCTCTCTCTCTCTCTCTCTCTATATATATATATATATATATATATATATATATATATATAAAAAGAGCGATAAAATGAAAACCACCAACATTTGTAAAACCTTACAAATCACCTTCATACATCGATTTCATTGTTTAATCTTATGAAAATTTTTCATAAAATTATTTAATTTTGTAAAATTATTTCATATAATAATTTTTTTTAATGAATTTGTTTCATATATGATTATAAAATTGTTTCATATAATATTTAATAAAATTTTAATGAAATTGTTTCATGTAGTTTCTATAATTAAAATAATAAAGATGATAATATCCATGATTAACACCCTCCACAATAAAAATGGTTAATCAACCTTTTATATTTACAAAAGAAATAAACAAAATGAAAAATTATGATTGGTTGAACGAGGTTTTCACGATTTTTATAAATTGAGTGGTTTTTATTTTAACGTTCTTCTATATATATATATATATATATATATATTGCAGAATTGACACTTTTATAGATCTCACCGACAATATAAAAGGTGGGAGAAATTCTTTTATGTTTCATTTTATTCAAGCTTCTTCTTAGATATGTTATAATCACTAAAGTAATCGTGAAAAGACAAAATAAAAGTTCAACACCATATCTACGGATGCTATGAGGACTTTGTTATATAACCCTCATTGAATAGACTAATCTGACGGAATTAGTGACCAGAAACCATTTTTAAAGTAAAATGTAGAAAGTAGGGACGATAGTTGTAGTTATTAAAGTTTATGGGCTATTTTCGAAGATTGGTGTAAACCATATGGACCAAAATTGTAGTTTACTCATAACCAAATGACTCGCTATTCACTTTTTAAACCATTTTTTGCCAACTGCTAAAATTTTATATACGTTTTGTAATTTGCAAAATGTATTTTTTTTAATTAAATATGATTTTGGGTAGGTTGGCTTGCGTGATGACGCACCACCATAATTATATTTTAATATAAAAAGTTAGGAAATAAACATTTGCAACGTTTTGGCTATTTTAAGATAATCGAGACAAGTGGTTAGAAAGTGAATAAGGGAAAGTGGCTTCGCTATTTTGGGGAATTATCAGTCGAACTTAGTAAATTCTACGTGAAGGTTTAAGTAAAAATGACATGTATGTAGACTTTACCTCTATTAAAAAATAAAAAATTTGTTTCCTTGAAATCCCCAAAATATTTCTAGCAGCTAAATGTTGCAAGTAGTTTTCCAGGAAGCTTGGGATCTTGGAGATCATAAAATGGTTTTCAACTCCATTTTAATACCTATAAAATGTATTAGGCCCAGGGATGGTTTTTGGTATAACATTAGGGGTGCCATATTATGAGTGTCCCTACCCGAAGTAGTTTTCAATAATTCTGACTCTTAAATATGTTATTACGATGATTTGATGTGTGCCACCGTAGGATATGGTGTGAAAAACTGAGAGGTTATTATAATATATCAAAGCTTAAACTTACGTTTTGATGGTTAACAATGATTGAACACTAAAACCTAAATGTAAATTATTGAAATCAGAGGTTTATATAATATATTTATAATCTTAATTTTAATAGTTTTTATCTTATTTTATGTTATAGTAATTATTTTATGTCACAATTAAAAAATTTCATCTGTAATTATAGCAGATCAAATTCGTCTAGTCATGTGGATAATTAGACCACACGATTTGTAACTTGCAAAGAGATGGTCAAATTGAATAAAAATAGGAGGGACCCACAAGAAAACCTGTTCAACACCAGTTTTGAATGGATGAGTTGTTAATGTCAAATTTCCCTTAAAAAAGTGTCTTCTCCTTAAAAATCGGACATTTATAAACAAATACATCAGTTTCACCAATCTTGGGCAATCTTCATGTGCTGCACTACTTTTTTAGGGATATACTTATAACGCCTTGTCACACACGTGTATAAACACATTTCATGGGTATAAAGTGGGGTTTTTTTTTGAAAACGATAAGATATTAATGCATTGAAAACAACAAGAAACCAACCTTAAAATTGTAGTGATACATTATATGTTAGTATATGGATATATGTTATACGTTATATCGTCTCGAGGGATTTTTTTGAAGTTTTTTTGTTTATTTCGAGAGACTTTTTTGGTTTTTTGTTGTCTTCGAGGGACATATTCGGTTATTTGGTCGATATCCCTTGTTCCTAATATATTGTAGCACCCCTTAAAGCTTAATATATGCACCTTTCATACCTAAAAAAATTCTACTTACAAAAAATAAATCGAGCAAGTGCAGGAATCCTACTTAGGCCTTCATAGGTTCCCCCTGAACATATATTAGAAGGGGCTGATTCAAATAAGACGACTAAATGTCGTGAAAAGGTTATAAGAGAAAGCTAAAATTCATATGCAAATTATTGATAAAATCCAAATTTTTTATTCGAAGATGTATATGTAAATAAATGTTATAAATTATTCATACGAGTTTACGTATATATTTTCAAATAGAAACCTTTGATTAATTTTTATTTCTTATTTTCTCATAATATTATTAAACTTATTATTTGAACCTCCCATTATTATAAGATACAAATAGGGACTATTTATGCCATTAACATTATATTAGGTTTTATTAATAACACAATATTTTAAGTTCCAACAAGTTTAATGACATTTTGGTGTATAAATTGAAAATGAAGCCTCTAGTTGGCCTCAAGATCCCCGTTCCAATTGCTAAAACCAGTGACTTGATGGTTTAGTTATTCAATCCAATGATTCCAGGCCTTTAACCACAATTCCACAAAGTATACATGATTTGTCCTTATTTTCAAAATCTTATTTGTATTTGAGTATTTTGTTTTTTAATTAAATAATAGTTGTTGCAAATTAGTTATTTGTCTTTTAACTCTATATCTTTCTTTCATATGTTATTTAAATGACTCTTGTGTTTATTAAAAAAATTAGTATAATTTTTTGAAAATTATCTAAATTGTGAAGTTGCTTGTGTATTTAATAATCAAAAATTTAGACGGTTACTATATAAAATAATATTTGTTCTCCCAAAAAGTTTTGTTCCTTTTATATCCACTGATCAAGTAAATACATATTAGCAGAAAGAGAAGATAAACATGAATTAAATAAAATAATGTTGTGTCTTCACTTGATTCATGAGACGGGTCACAGAAAACAAACAGTAAATTTTAGGTTATTTGCTCTATTTGCTATCTGGACCTCTCTATTAACTTTCTTTCACATACATCATCACATTCACTTTTTTATATTTCCAATATACTCTAAATTGATCTGATCCAACACCCTTGAAATATTTTCTAGGAGTGATTTTCAATTGTATTGATTTTTTGTTGTCTCAATTATTTTATATGAATTAATTGACTGATTGCCTACCACTTGCTACTTCAATTCTAGTTGACTTTAGAATACCTTATTTTCTTATGGGGCCGTCTTATGACATGTGATAGATTATCAAAAGCTTTACTTTTTCCACAAAATTTGCTTCATTTTGATGATATACCCTTGTAGACCATTTTTTTTAGTTTCATGGTTAGTTTTTCATTAAGTCATGTATGAATAAAAGTTTGTGTGGATTAATCTGTAAATATAGATCGGGAAGGTTTTTGTTTTGGAAGTTTTTTTTATGTATATAATATTTATTTAGGAGGGTTTTTCATAGATAAAAGGAGCGTGTTTTTTAATTGGGAGGGACAAGTCTGGAAAAAACTTGGTTGTTTGCATAAAGCTTCCCCTTGAAGCTTATTGAATAAGCCACTTTTTTATCATTAAGCCACCACCAACCATAAGCCGAGTCCCATTAAGCTCATTAAGCTACTAACAAACACGTCATAAGCCTTTGACAGCATAGAACAATATAGAGCCATGTAGGTTTAGATGACATGGTCTTCTTTGTGACTTGCTCTATGTCTCCTGAGGGCATACTTGTAGTTTGTTTCTAAAATCTAGCCTAAGAAATATTGTTTTGGTAGATCCTTTTCCAAAGCTAGGACTAAAATCTAGAAAGGTAACATTGGTAGGCATTGCTTTAGTTCCGAAAAGAGGACAAACTGTTATTCTATCTTTCAAAATAGCTCGGGATAACCATAAGAGTTCAACTCCTAATATTTATCGACTTAGGTGATGCGCCTTAAGTTTGTTTATCAAGCATATAAACCCCAGACCTAAAAGTGGCATGCTTTCATGGACCCGTTTCCACGCTCATGAACAAGCCAAAAGATCAGCAATGTCGGTATGTCACTGGCTTCCTTTATCATGGTCAGCACAACAATGTAACTGAATGACCTCAAAAACTGAATTGAAGAATCTAACCCTTTAGTGTATTTCTAAGTTTTTATGGGAGGAGCAGGGTATTTTGAACTAGGGGCATACTGTCCTGGGTCAGATGAAGGTCATTGAGCTAAAAATAAATTTAGAAGGCCATGCTCTTAATTGAAAACTCATTTGAAATCATTTATCCAAAGGACCCTGATGATGGATCAATGAGAGAGTTTTAGGTATATAATCTTAAATGAGATTTTAATTAAATCCATGATCTTCTCATGAGTATAAAGCCATTTTTTCTTTGATAGGTCTAGAGGTCATGAATTTAATTAAAAGCTCATTTAAGGTCATATCCCGAAATGACCTCGTTGAGCACCTACATAGAATCATTAACAGACTTGACCACATAAGCATGGCAGTTTTGTACTAATTCTTGCAGCCGATCAGTTCAAGTTCAAGATTAACTATAGCAACTGGAATTGGATTCTTTGGCTTTTGGTTGTTACCAACTATGTTTCTTTGTTCCTAGATTGCAGTAACAATTCTATCAAGGAGTCTATAGAAGTTACTGATATTATGTGTTTGTCTCGCGATTCGCAGGTTTACGTGAACGATCAGTTTCTCAACTGGGATCCAGTACATCGTATCAAAGTCCGTATTGTATCTGCCAGAGCTTATCACTCATTGTTCATGCATAACATGTAAGTATATACACAAAAATGAGGTTCTTAATGGGACTATTTTGGTCAATAATCTTAAATGAGAATTTTATAAACAACATAACCTTCTGAAAACTTTAGTGGCATTTTTTACATATGGAAGTGACATCTCAACATTGTCAGAAGGTTATAGATTAAAAAGAAAATTGTGAGAAGTTCATTCGATCGTTGGACCTGTTTTAATGCTAGCTTTGAGCATAAGAGTAACATGGTAAATGGCAGGTGCATCCGACCGACTCCTGAAGAGCTGGAAGAATTTGGTACTCCGGATTTTACAATATACAATGCTGGGATGTTCCCTTGTAACCGTTACACTCATTATATGACGTCCTCCACAAGTATCGATCTCAATCTTGGTAGGAGGGAGATGGTCATCCTTGGAACCCAATATGCGGGTGAGATGAAGAAAGGTCTTTTCGGTGTGATGCATTATCTCATGCCTAAACGCCAAATCCTCTCCCTACACTCCGGTTGCAATATGGGGAAAGATGGTGATGTAGCACTCTTCTTTGGATTATCAGGTATACACATCAACTGCTTTTGTTTTTCAAGTCGGGGGCCTTAACAGAGACAATATCTCTACCCTTTGGATAGAGATTAAGGTCTGCAAACATCCTAATCTGCAGAGCCTACCTTTGTGTGGGATATTCTGGGGTTATTTTGTATATAGGTCAAGTGTTTGCTTCAAACGTCTAACGTATATTTAATGGCTTGCTTAGATTAAATCGTATTGTATATGTTGTTGGTAGTACCATAGACGTTATGGGTTTGAACCCCTTCTTTTCTTGAGTATTCGTGGAGTCCCATATCAACTAGACTTGGACCACTTCTCATCGGTATATGTTGGAACCTCTACATCTCTCTGAAGGGCTCTTTTGAAGAGTTATCTAATAGCGTTTCACATATTCTCACATGATATTTGGGCCAATGTTTACCATTTTAGGGACTTGACACTCTGGGAAATTTGTAGTTGTTTAGCTCCCTCTTGACACTCTAGGGGAATATGTGCATGTCTAGTGTACATTAGAAAGGGTGAGTTAAAGTCCCACACTAGGAGTGAGTAATAAAATGGCATTCTGTATATTCTCATATGGTATGAGTCAAGGTCTATCACTATAAGGGCTCAACTCTGGGGCAATCTGTCATGTCTAGCCTACATTTGACGGGGCGTGTTAGAGTCCCAAATCAACTAGACTTTGATCATTTATCCTCAATATATGTTGGTGCCTTCGTTCTCCACCTAAAGGCTTTTTTGTAGAGTAATCTCGTTATTGGCAAGACTTGGGAACATTAAAGTTTGGGTTAAAAAAATTAGGGTATTTTTTTTATAGTTGTCGACTGTGGGCGTTTTATCCCCTAGTTTGGTTGTGGATCCGTCCCTGAATCTAATGGTGTTCCACCTGCTAGTGGTTTCTGAACTTATAGTTTCCTTTTGAATACATTTGCACGTAGGTACGGGCAAGACCACACTGTCCACGGATCACAACAGATATCTAATTGGAGACGATGAGCACTGTTGGAGTGAAAACGGTGTGTCAAATATCGAAGGCGGTTGCTATGCCAAGTGTATTGATCTATCAAGGGAGAAGGAACCTGATATCTTCAATGCCATCAAGTTCGGGACAGGTGAAAAGATTATTTCGAATGACCCGTCCCTTTTTCCAAATCTGATTACATGTCAATAACATCTTCTTCTTCTTGTTTATGGCAGTGATGGAAAATGTAGTGTTTGATGAGCATACCCGAGAGGTCGATTATTCAGACAAATCTGTAACAGGTAAACAAAATTACATCAACTAGACTTGGACCTTTCTACTTCAATACATGTTAAAACCCCCTTTCTCCGCAGGAGCTCTTTTAAAGAGTAATCTGACACACAAATATATAATATGGTATCGGAGCCAAGGTCCACCTCTAGGACATTTGTGTCTGGGACTCAATGCACTTGACATTTGTGCTCATCTGGAATCCCATATTGGCTAGACTTGGACCTTTCTACTTCTAACATATGTCGGAACCTTTCTTCCTCAAGCCCTCTTTTAGTTAGTAATCTGACACGGTTCCACATATCTAAGATGGTATTAGAGCCCAGTACATCTCTGAGGCTCGACATTCTAGGGCATCTATATTCATCTAGTAAGGGGAGATGTTGGAATCACACGTCAGCTAGACTTGGGCATTTCCACTTCAATAGATGTTGGAACCCCATCACATATCAATAGGAACTCTTAGAAATTCAAAATTTTATACTGATTATTGAAGTCAATTTGTAGAGAACACCCGGGCGGCATATCCTATAGAATACATACCAAATGCTAAGATACCGTGTGTCGGGCCTCATCCGAAGAACGTCATCCTGCTAGCTTGTGACGCGTTTGGCGTGCTCCCGCCTGTGAGCAAGCTAAACTTAGCTCAAACCATGTATCATTTTATAAGTGGTTACACTGCTCTGGTATGTTCTATTTCGTGCGTTATCTGGTTTTCATCAATATTTTTTTCTATAAATTCTCACGAGTTTCTCGACTTTTTTAGGTGGCTGGAACAGAAGACGGAATCAAGGAGCCACAGGCAACATTTTCAGCCTGTTTTGGTGCAGCATTTATAATGCTTCATCCAACCAAGTATGCAGCCATGTTGGCTGAAAAGATGAAAAAGCATGGTGCAACCGGATGGCTTGTTAACACCGGTTGGTCAGGTGGAAGGTATATCGGTACTCCTTAGTTATCACATAAACAGTTGGACTGGTACGCAGCACAGGACATGACCTAAGTGGAACGAAAATGCATTTTTTTTTAATTTGAACCAAAACAAATGGAACAAAAATCAGAGAAATAGGAACAAGATTATTAAATTATTAAACACCCATCTCAAATTAAAAACCTTAGAAACCTTCTGAAATTCTTTCATCGGCCTACCTCACTCTCAAGTGTTAAGTCTTGTCTTGTTCGCATACCAAACGCACCCATATGGAACAATAAGGTCGTATTTTCTGAATTCTTATATGCAATACTATCTGTTCCCATATATATATACAGTTATGGATCGGGTAAGCGTATAAAGTTGGCATACACTCGGAAAATCATTGATGCAATTCATTCTGGGAGCCTTTTGGAAGCAGAGTACACCAAGACCGAGATTTTTGGGCTTGAAATCCCAACTGCGATTGAAGGTGTTCCTTCGGAGATTCTTGATCCTGCAAACACGGTAAGCGTTACATTATATATACCTATATAGGAGGCATAATCAAATGAGAACGTAAGAAGTGTGACAAGCAATAATCATGTGTTTGTGAAACAATGAATGTGAAAATACAACATGTACTTTTACATGTATTGTTTGACAAATGACATGATTACTGCTTTTCACAGTTAGAAATGGAGATTTATATAATTATGGGATATGTTTGTTGTAGTGGCCGGACAAGAAGGCACACTTGGAAACACTAACCAAGTTGGGAGGATTGTTCAAGAAGAACTTTGAGGTGTTCTTGAACTACAAGATTGGATCAGACAACAATCTCGCTGATGAAATCTTGGCTGCTGGTCCAAACTTTTGATATCCCAATTTCATCATCATCATATAAATAAGATCATATATATATATATATATATATAGAGAGAGAGAGAGAGAGAGAGAGGGGGAACACCTTGAAAAAACTCCAAAAATTGAAAAACTGAGGAACACTTTGATAAGTTTCCATCTGGATGATATGCAAATGTGGATACAAGTAATTGAAATTGTTTGTTGGTTAACATAAACATGCACACGTGCATACTACACAAATGGCTTACAGATTACCTGTATGCACGTATGCATATCGTCCAGATGAACGGTTACCATGGTATTCCTCAGTTTTTCATTTTTTTTTTTTTGAGGTTTTCCCTTCAACCTCCCCCTCTCTCTATATATGTGTATGTATGTGTGTGAGTATATATATATATATATATATATATATATATATATATATATTGTAATCCACAAATTCCTAGTAATGGTGACTAGAAACTCTAGGTTACTTTGGATTTGAGAAATATGTTGAGTTGATTTCATATAACTTCCAAGAGGAAGGAGTGAGTTGTATTTTCATGAGTGGACTTCTATCCAACACTGTATTTATATGAATTTTGATGTAATCTTCTATATATAGTTTCAAATCCTTCCTACAACTTGCTTTTTCCAGTTATTAAAGGGAAATATGAGTTCCTATTTTTATATAAAAAAAGTAGAGTAAACTACGTTTTTCGTCTTAGTGGCTTGTCGGAAATCGTTATTTGCTTTTAAAATTATGGTTTTTGTCCTCGAGGTATACGTTTCATTGTTCTTTTGTCTATATGCTTTACAATTTACTATTGTTTTTGTTCCAGTGGTTTATAATTTATTATTGTTTTAATATATCAGATGAGCAAAGTTAATTTTCTTCTCAAAATACTTGGGGGAAAAAATTTTGACTAAAAAAATTCGTAAGAAAACTCAGAACTCGTTCTTTGTTCTACTAATTTTCTTTATTAACCGGTTTAAGCTATTGTTCAGTTGATTCCCTTTAGTTTGAGTATGAACATAAGTTTGATTCATTACCCGATTTTCGTTAGCTTTTATTTTTATTGTCTTTCCATTATTTTTTTAGTCTTTTGAATAAAATCATTCTAAATTGATGATTTCTCATAGCTAGGTCATAGTTTAGAACAAATTCGTGTTTTTAGTCCATCATCTCCTTGTGATTGAGCCGTATGCTCCATTTCCCGTACGCTTGCGGTAGAAGTTTGAAATATCATCACATCAATACTCAATAGACTCGATAACAACTTGATAGAAACCAAATTTTGCTAGCATGTATATGAGCAACTTCAAACAAAAAACCATTTTTGATCTGAGTTAAGAGTGAACAATTATGACTTCATGAAATGTTGCACAAGTTATTACTTGATAAATCTAGATAACTGCTTGATAAAAACCCAAATTTTACGAGCATGTAAATTTATAAAAATAAGCAAATAAAAAAAAATCTTGATCCGAGTTACGAACAATGGCTTCATGAAAATTACATGATGTATGCTCAATAGAACTTGATTAGACATGGGAATGAGACTCGTCCCATTGAAGAATCCGGTGTACCGCCCCGACAGGACCAGGGTTTCCCCACAAACTCGGGGGATGGGGAAGGGGATCCCTGAAAGTTAAAAACCAGGGATGAGGATGGGGCTGAGTAATGTGGTCCCCCTCCCCGTATCTTAAATATGTTACATGTATGTTATTAAATATATTAGTTATAAGGAACTAGATTTAATATCTTTTAAATTTAGAAATATTACTTAGACCTTTCTTCTTATATACAATTTGTCTAAGTTGTCTTACTTTTTTTAGATAAAAAAACGTTGAGAGCCGAAAACGTTTGATCAAACTATTACGTATGATGTTGTGATTTTGTTCATGTCTGCATATTTGATACTCCATAAAAGCAAAATTCTGGAAATACGTGACATTTAAACATGGACCATTATTGATCGATTGTGGTGTTTAACACATTTGATTTAAAATACTTCACGTAAACAAGGAAAAATTTTGTGATTCCCCGTCGTTGCAGATCCCCGTTCTCCGTTGGGACGGGGATGGGGATGTGATCGTATTCCGTGGTTAGAACGGGGATAGAGATTGAGGTTTCTCCCCATCCCCGTCATGTTCCCATGCCTAAACACAATAGTTGCTCAATGGTTACTTGATAGAAATCCAAATTTTCCGGCATGTAGATTGAAAAAGAATAAACATCTTAAAAATTTTATCTTGATTTGAGTTATCAAGAAAATTTTATGGCTTCATTATTGTTACACGATGTATGCTTGATAGCTGGTCGATGATTACTTGATAGAAAGCCAAAATATTTCAACATGTAGATTTTGAAAAACGAGGCAATATAAAAATGTCGTATCTATTAGAGATTAGTGAGAACGATTTTCTTGATTGATTAAACAAAATACAATCATTTAAATATACAACAGATGGGCCACGGGCCAAATGCTATATGGGCTAATAAACTAAGCCTAATAACAATATATTATAAAGATACAATGTGATCTGCTATATATATATATAACAAATCTGATCTAACTTTGAAATACAATCAACTAACATCATATAACCCAGTATACTACCAGCAGTGTTATAAACATATTCATCAAAACATTGTAAAACTCATCTTAAATGCACGTATTTGAAGATGAATCACACAACAACAACTTCAAATAATAACACATAATCAATTTATGTCCTTAGCAAATTCACACAACTTTTTCACACAAGACACACACACACAGTGTTTCCTCTTTCCCTTTTCTTTCCCAAAATAGCATGGATAAAATAAGAAGTTTATCTTCTTGCTTTTTACATCACCATATCAAAGACGATGGTTGAGTTTAATAATTAAAATATTATATAAACATAATCACATAGACACAATTATTTTAAATTAACTTACTCACCAAAACTTTCAAAACCACCCCAAATTATATAACAGAACCCGATTATCACATAATGTGTGTTTTGAGTTGATATGTGGTAACAAAGATGATGCTACAAAGCATTGTAGATCTGTTAGAATGGCTTTAGGTTCCATGTACAAATAGTATTGTAAGTTGGATCAGGTTTGCATTTTTGTTTTCATTCTGAGTTTCTAATATGTTTGTAATAGTGTTGCATTTTTGTTTTAACTTTATTTATATTACTCTTTACAGCATGATTTTGATGTGTTGAAGTGGTGGAAAAAGAACGCGAGTAGGTTTAAGATTCTTTCCATGATTGCATGTGATGTATTTGTTATGACTATATCGACCGTTGTATCAGAGTCGGCTTTTCTACTGGTGGCTGTTTTATCGATTCATATAGAAGTTGTTTGACTTGTAAAGCGGTACAAGCATTAATTTGTACCCAAAATTGGATCCGACAAACATCAATTGATGTTGATGGCATAAATGAAGAAGTTGAAGCGTTGGAAGCTGGTAAGTAAATGTGTGTCTATATATATATATATATATATATATATATATATATATATATATATATATATTATGTTTTCTTTTATTTTTTTACTAGAAAATTAAATTAAAAAGTAAAATTCACATCACCCTTGATCTAACTAGATTTTTTAATGGTGTTAGTGGATAGGAACCCAACCCAAACACTTTTGCATACAACGAGGGTTTTTTTGAAATAAAAATTTTATAGAGACCCAAACCAAAAAAAACAACAAACTATAAGGACCAAAATTGCACTTTACTCTAATACTTAATTGTACTCCAATACTTAATCGTAGTAACAGTAAATTGCACCATAGGTCCCTGTGGTTTGCTCAATATGGTCTCTCTTTAAAAATAAGTACACGTAACGTCCTTATGGTTTGCGTTTCGTTGCATTATGGGGCCCTTGCCTTAACAACGTTAAAAGAAATCCGTTAACTAAAGAGTAACTTGGTTATTTTATCTATTAATTACAAAAAAACCTTTTTATATGTAGGTATCTGGTGAATTAAGAAGTAAAATCTACAACATGTGTTCCCTGATTCGAAAACCTAACAATAGTTATCGTTTGGAACCTGCAAGTCGTTGACTCAAATCATTAAATAATTACTTCAAGGGTTTGTTACTAGAATATGTAGCCCATTTACACCATCATCAGGTTTGTTCAAAAACAAGTGAAAGGGTGGAGGGGGTGTAGAAAGGGGGAGGGAGGAGTAAATGACTGAGAGAGCGGTGCTCACCCTGGTGCTCATTTGCTCAGATGGCTCGATGAATTGAGATAGATAGGAGAAGGTTTTTAGATGGAAATGATGGTTGACAGATAAGGGGAGGCGCCAAAGAAAGGATTCACCGAGAGTATGCTTTAAGTATGCTTCTACAGCTTGGGAGGTTAAATGTATATATGTTGTGTCATGTGTGTGTGCATGCATGTTTTAAAAAGAAAATGACATAAATACCCTTTTCCCCTTTGTTCACATATGTTTTTTGAAATTGTAAATTTAAAAAATCAATTTTTTATCATGATTAATCACAACCGTTTATTGTAAGAATCAATGACTAAAATTGGTTAACAAAGTTAACACAATAATCTTGGTTAACATTTGAACCAACCCCCATATATATATATATATATATATATATTATGATTCAAATTAGCAATAAAAAAATAAGACAACATAAAAGGACGAAATTGCCTTTGAGTTAATGAATTGGAGTTAACTCCGTCAGGGATAAGGACCCATAACGCAATGATTGCAAACCACAAGGACGCTATACTTATTTTGAGAGATGGACCATATCCAAATTTTGAGCAAACCATATGGACCCATAAATTGATTCAGGGACAAAAATCGCAATGAGTTACAAACCGCAGAGACGAAAACCGTATTATCAAAAGTATAAGGACGAAAGTCGCAATTATAAACAAACCACAGGGACGAATATCGTAATTTACTCTCAAAACTATATGTAACTTTGTACAAAACTGCAGCCGGCGATCAGATCAAAACACGTAATTTAACCACAAAACTACTTGGAATCAATCACAGAGAGTATTGGGAAGATGATCGGAGCTGGGAAGATGAAGCAGTACGCAAATGTGCTCGATAAGCCCCTTAGCAAGGGTAGACAAGAGGTTATAATATTCTTTCATTTCTTTTTTTCTTTCAAACCAAATGCCCATTTCTCATCTTCTCAGATCTCAAATCAATCGTTGTTTGGGTTTATAATCAGAGGCAAAAATGTATGCTTCAGAGTAGTTCTTGATTATGTGTTGTACTTGAAAATGTTGATCGCAGTTGCGTTTTATGTAATTGGGGAGTGAATTATAAGATTGTGTTTTGGGACGAAAGGTTTTAGGGTTTATACTCGGAAGGGGAGAGAAAGGTTTTAGGGTTTATATTCGGAAGGGGAGAGAAAGACGGAGGTACGAGGGTTTGAATTTATGTGAAGCTGAAGAGATTTTGTGTTCAATTTTGCAGGTCAGTTTGAGTGCATTTGCTTACTTATTTTCAGAGCTTGTTCAGTACAATCAAACCCAAGTTGACAACATTGGAGACCTAGAAAGGAGGTAAAGCTAATAAACTTCAACTTCATGGTACCATAATGTATTAATAGCCTACAATCTGAAATCTATATCTTCTTTCTTGATAGTTATTCCAGCAAAATGCCATTTCTAATTTTTAAAGTAGATGTGTGAAGAACCCTTTGACCTTTCATCTCAAAACTAATCGGCATGAAAGGAATCACCTTTATTGTTCATGAATTAGTTGAGGGTTACTCGATGGTGGGCTAGCTTTTCTGTTGATACCCCATATGTGTTGCCCCACTTCTGATCTGTTGAGGCATACACGTGCTTACATAGTCCATAATTTAAGCTGTTGAGGCATCAGGCGCTAATTGGTTATGGTGCGAGTGTGCTCATTGGTTTCTTCTACCATGTAATTATTAGGGCTTGTGACAACGAGTTCAGATTCTTAATTATTTAGCATAAAGTTCGGACAAAGACCGGTCTAAGTATACACATATATCAGCTATTGCTTAGCAAGTGATATAATGCGAAGAACTGATATCAAATCCCCAGGGATTTGACTACCAAGAACAGAGATTAATGAGAACTAATCCTTGCAAATTTAGGGAGAGATAGAAGAAAATATTTTGAGTTGATTTGATTATACGTAGCATATTTGAAGTTCTTAAAAAATGGGTGTAAGCATAAACTACAAGATATGATAGTTCAGAGAGTGATCATAAGAAGTGGCCACTTTTCTTATAAAAGTGTCCACTCTTCTGCAAAGAGTTACTAGAATAGAAATGTGTCTACTTTCTCTCAAAGAATTACCACACCACTGCAACTCAGATTTGTCAGTGGAACCTAGTTGGAACTCTTTCAAGTTCTTGAGAACAATTAGGTGTCGTTTGGTTTGTGGGATTTGATAGGATATGGAGGGATTTGGAATTAAATTCCATTTCAATCCTGTGTTTAGTTTGAAGGAATACTTTGATTTGAAATCCTGGGATTTCAATGAAATCTCACAAACATGGATTTAGAAATCCTATGTGGGTAATTGTTATTTCGCTGGATTTTACAGGATTTGTTTGTGGTAATATTTTAAAATATGTTAAAAAACACTTATTTTGTAATAATCAATTAATAAAAATATAATTTAATTATTTCTATTATTTTTTATAATTTGTTTCTATAAAGTATTTATAAAGAATGGAATTCAATTCTATTCCAAATCCTACAAACCAAACACCCCAATGATTCCAAATTCCTCCAATTCCAATCCTTCCATGAAATTCAAATCCCTCAAAAACATTTCATCAAACCTAACTGGACCTTAGTATTGTGAACACACCCATATTCCTATGTGATGCTACTGTTTTGTCGATAAAGAATGTTAGTTTGCTTTAGTTATGCCAGAATTCATATTCACATGCAATTCAGAAAATCCTACAGACTTCCATGCATCATTCAGTATTGATGTTGCTTAGTGCAAGGACCATTCCTAATTCTTATTCACTTTTAACATTTTCACAAGTGATCAACTTTGCGTCTTAGGATTTTTCAACGATTAATGAATGCGTCCAATAAAAGCAACAATGTGGTAACAGTACCCTGTTACCTAATGTCTTCGAACTCTGTTTACACTTAGATCCAGAGAAAACTTACTCCATTACTGAAATAGTAATAACAACCATAACCGGAAAGGAACACTGAACATAATTTGCAAACACGAAACTATTAAGAAAATGATGCATTAACTGCACAAAGACTTCCTTTAATTCAATGCTAGAGTATAACAATACGAGGAAAGTAAATAAAAACAAGCTAATGAAATTCTTAAATGTCTAAAGCGAAGTACACGTGTAAAGGAAAGACTACATGCAGAAATATAAATTAAATGCAGTCTTTTCTCTAGATTCATCGACTCCAATTCAGCACATTAACCCGTTTTTTATAGTCACCAAAAAGTAAGGAACAAGTCAATTGATTATTGCTCAGCCAACTTGTGCGGTTTTGACAGCTTCTAAATGAAAGCAGAAGCATGCTTCAGTATAAAGGTTTCCTTTGAGCAGGTTTTTGCTAACACGGAAAAGTTGACTTTACAAAAGGGTTTACCTTTTTTAATCATGATTTGCTTTGTTAGCCAACAACCGCCTATCTTGGAATTCAACGAAATTATTCCAGCTTTGACGGTCCCAACTCATAATTGATGATCATAACTCAGATGAATTATGCCTACTTACTGAACAATTGTGGCCACTTTTCTGGGATGACTCCACTTCTTTGACTTTTCATGAGGAAATGCTACTTACAAGATCTAATGAAAATAATAAAATAAAAAGAGAGATGAAATATAAAGAAGCGAATAAAACACATAAGAGAGAGAAACACAAATAGAAAAGGATCTGAAAACTCTAAATTTGAGAGTTATCAGCTTCCATCTTAAAACCAATTGCCAATAGGAAGGGTCACCGTTGGATCTTATATGTTACATACTAATTGATCTTACTTGATGTGGGGCTAGCACTTTTGATCTTAAAGTTTTATTTAGAAAATTGTGATACACACGTTAAACTGTATATGACGCAGCGGGAAACGCAGAGGGTAGACAAGCGTCGAAACCCTAAAGGATAAATAATTTACAAGCGTAAAACTAAAAGAAAAGAAAAGAGATAAACCCTAATTAGAGAGAAACTCAAACTCAATCATCCATTAATTCATAAATTGATTTGAAAGGAAAACAATGCTCCTATTTACAGGCTAAATAGAAAAGAAAACCTAAACCAACTAGGAAAGCAATAAAAATAATAATTAAAGAGAAACAAATAATAATCCTAAATTAACTAGGAAAATAAAGCAACTAAATAATTAATAAAAGGGAAAAGATCATGCATGAGCTTCATCAGATCCATGCACTGGGGACTGGCTGTGCGATCCTGGGCACGTGAGACCTTTTTACTGAGTCCAGAGAATTAGGTGACTCTACACGACCCATGTCACATGGAGGGTTGCAAGGACTCTGTTTTCTGCCTTCGATGCAGGATTTTGAAGACAAATCGGGCTTCTTTCGAGCTTGTTTCCTTTTCTCCAATTGATCCGGCAAAAGGCCCTTTAGCTCTCAGATCTGTTCTATATCAGTATAGCATGCACCATTACTAGAAATATATTGGTGGTAAGTATTTATAAAATCTATCCCAGTTTGCAAGCTATTGTTTTTTTTTTTCCGAGAAAGAGGGAACCCTTGTTTGTTAGTTTACAACAGATATGATTGATTATAATTTGGGAATGGATGATGATTGTAACGTGGAATTTAGGATTTTCACTAGTTACATTCAACAAAGTGTATTTGTGCATTTGGAATGGAAAGTGCGCCTTCAGAATTTCTTTTTCTCTAGAACCACAAATTTCACTTGGATCACTTATAGTCGAGCATATAATCATCATGTGATGCATTTCAACTATGAAGTAGAATGCCCTACATCAAGCATAAAGAAAGGATCACAGTACACGTCTGGCGAGTGGAGTGTCATGGTCCCATTCATCATTTTTGATCTACATAAGCCAAAGCCCACAGCATTGGTGACATCTGCAGCATAAGTACAATGTTTATGCATATAAATATAAATATGTGTTGTTGTTCCCAACTTTTATGAGATCTCTCAAGCTGGCTCAATAGGGATCTGTTGAGAAGTACCAACCATATTCTCACTAAGAAAATTATGATCTTTTTGATATGCATGTAAAATTTGATTTTTGAAAAGGTGCGTAAGTCATAATCATGATGCGCTTTAATCAAAGCAGGTTCAAAACCAAGTCAACTTACATGTTTGTACATGATATGATTTGATAATCAGGTTGTAGCTTAGAAAGAGAAACATCCTCCTGATTCATGTTTCTTTGAGAGACAATTTCTAGAGACCTAAAACAAAAAACCGTCATTGAGAGAATGATAAGATATAAGTACATAGATGGCAAATGGGATATGATGTAAAACCTAACTAAAACTGCGTCTTTATGTGCCGACTAATATGGTGAACTGGCCTATATCATACTCCAATCAGCCCTTGCCATATGCAAATGATTAAATATAGTGTGGCAGACAATTCTATTCTATGAAGTGATATCATTGTAAGCATGTATTTTCCTCTATGCTTGTGTATTTGGGTGATGAAGATAGAAGAGTTTTTGTCATGAAAGCAGATCAAGTTGTTAATCCTTTTAACTAAAATCACTAAGTATTAAATGACGAACCAAACACTTGTTTGTTTGTGATGGCATTGTGATGCTATTATTTTTAAGTTACGGGGATGTGTCCCCTTTCTTATGAGTGAAACCTGTTCATAATAATAAAAAGATCACTTGAGTGTTTGAAATGACAAATGTGCTCAGGCTCTACATGCTTTGTGCTTTCAATGAAAACACTATATCCAATACTCTCATAAGAACGAGGCTATGAGCATGATTGAGCAAGAATAACTTTGTAGTGATATGTTTTGAGAATATTAATTTGATCATTATCAAAGTATCTAAATGCTTTGAGCAATTTTTCTGGTAAAAAACTAAAAATACTTAAGAGTGTAGAGACATATTTTGTTGCCAAATACAAAGTTCTTAATCTCGCAATAATCAGGATATGATTTTAGGAATCCCGAACTGGCTCTTTGTTGTTCTATATTGCCTTTCACTTGTTAATGAGTGTTTGATATTGAATATCAACTTTCATTCATATGATACTATATGGTGTTATGTGATCAGATTGGAGGATGCTGGCTATGCTGTTGGGGCACGAGTACTGGAGTTACTTTGCCATAGGGAAAAGGTAAAATGGTGTTAAATCTTTTTTGGGATTTTGTGAAGAATTGAGTGGCATGTTGGATATTTTTTTTGTCTATATGCAACTAGGGCTGAGCCATGGAGAGCTGGTAAGGGTACTCTGTTGGAAGGTCAAGGGTTCGAGTCCTAGAAATGGCCTTTCTGCTAATCTGCAAGGGGAAGACTGATCAAAAGACTTCCCTCCCCAGTCCTTGCAAAGCCGAGGAGCCTTGGTGCATTGGTGTCCCTTTTTTATGTCTTTATGCAATTAACTGGGTACCAGTCTCTGATTTGGATGGTGAATGATCTCTTTGTTATCCATGGGAAAGTGGTACATGAATAAAGCTTTACTTTCTAGTTTCTACACATTGGTGATCTACTCTGGTCTTTTACACTCATTTTGCTTTTGGTATTGCTCTGGGATTTTGGTCTAAGCATTACGTTATAGGAAATAAAATAACTATCTTATCATGATTTTCTTATTTTCTTAGTACCATTCTGGTATGCTAGTACTATATCTGCAAGTTTGCTCATTCTGATTTCAATATTGTTTTTTAAACGGAGGAGTAAAAGGTTAACTTTTGAATACGGTCACCAGATTTCATAAACAAAGTAATTTATCATATTCAGATTTTATGCCTAAGCCTAAGATGTTGCTCGCATTGAGGCTTTTGACTCTAATTTGCATCTTTTTGACACAGTCCTTTAATGATACTTTGATAACTGTATTTGGATAAGTGAAAAGAAGAGGCTCATTGGCATTGTTAAACTGGTGTACCATGTTTCATTTGGCATTCCCTTTTTCAATATTTGAGTTTTGCAACTCAAGTTTGTATCACATCGCCATTGTATTGTGAGGCTAAGGTGCATTGTTCATATTCAAAAGTTGCATGTTATGTTTAGGGCAAATTGCAACAAAGTTTGGTTTTCCTATCAATAAATGTAACAAAGTTTTAAAATTTTCTGTGTACCCATTTTAACCGGCAACCTTATATTGTAACATTTGATGATGTGAATAGCCGTTTATGAAAGGGTTACAGCAAAGTGGAAGATAAACTTGACATTCATGTGCTGAAATGTTACAAGATCAATAGGTTACCGGTCAAAATAAGTAAAAAAGGAAAATTTGAACTTTGTTACAATAAATAGGAAATTTTGGAACTCTTACATTGATTTGAGATCTTTTTTTGTTACACTAAGTAGGAATCAAGGCAAACTTCATTGTATTTTGATGCATTTTACCTTTTTGTTTACATATTTGAATATATTCCTGATATCTTTTTGTCTTCTACCAATTATGGACCAATTGCAAATATGTTGCTGCATTACGTAATGGTTTCTATCTGACTTGGATTGTTGATCAAACTACAGTAAAGTGGTGACATCTTTTTCTATCCCATGGAGAATCATTATTTTGTGTTTTCTGATTCTGCAGGGCAATAGAAGGGAGACAAGGTTGTTGGGCATTTTATCTTTCATACATAGTACAGTATGGAAGGTTTTATTTGGAAAGGTTTGTGGTAGTTTCTATTGTTATACAACTTCTCCTTTCCACGGTTTTATTGGAACTCATTGCAAATAGTTATATGAAACCAAAGAAAGATATATAAATAAGAACATATACAAATGTTATTAACTATGTAGGACAAAACAACATTGCTATTAATATAGTTTGACCTTTAAATTCGGGATTTGAGTGCTTATTTTTTTTTGTTTAATCGTTTTTCATAGTCCTAGAAACTACTATTTAGATAAAGAAATTTTACAAGAATTAAGAAACGTAATAATAGGGAAATTGTTACTAATGATAAATCTCAGCAAGGATTGGTCCTAATCATATTATATGATGGAAAACCAACTTGCTTTTAGTCCTTCTATACATCGAAACACTGGCTTATGGTTACAGTGAAACCAGAATTCTGTGTCTTATTAAATGAGTGATCGAGTTTTTGAACCATCATACAGGCTTTTTTAACAAAGAAAACATCATTATTGCAAAAATGCAAATATATATTATATACTTATGCAAGAATGAATGATGTTTGACATAAATAGATCAAAGATGGTTTTTTGTTTTGCATTAAAAATTTTACAATATGTTCAAAATCACTCATTCTAGCAAAATGTTGTGCCTTGTTTTGGTATTTTCACAAGAATGATGGTTAGTTTGTCATTCTACTCTCTGGGGTCTACTTACACCCCCAACCCACCTGCTGGTGAGAGATACTGAGGTTGTTTGGTTTCGTTATGGTTCATTTGCCGTGAAAAGCAAAAAATGGCTTGTTCAAAAAGTGAATCTTTCTCTTACTGGTTATTTTTGCTCTAGTCACCATCTGTATAATGTTTTTCACTTTCAGGGCATTTATTATCGTGAATTTTGCATACTCCTGCTTTGGTATTCACTGGGATTAATGAACCGTCTTACATTTAGGTCGCTGACTCACTTGAGAAAGGCACTGAACATGAAGATGAATATATGATCAGTGAAAAGGAGCTCCTAGTTAATAGGTAAGTGTCTCATTTTGTATGATTCATATCATGACATTCTTTATATTATATTCATGCAAATCAACCTATTTTTCCCTAATCCATGGTTTTCAATTGTGCTTTCTATTTGTTTTACTTGCCTTTTTCGCAAACTGGGTTCTCATCAAAAACAGCACTGTCTTTTGAGACAGGTGAAGTTTGCGTATATTCCAACCCCCCCCCCCCCCCCCCCCCCAACCCTAACTTTTGGTGGGGATATACCGGGTTTGTTTGGTTTCATTTTATACTGACATTCTTTTTGTAATTTTGTGTTTTTTGGATGATTATAGATTCATTTCTGTACCAAAGGATATGGGAACCTTCAATTGTGGTGCTTTTGCAGCTGGAATAGTAAGGGTAGGTATTAAGACACGAATGTTTTTCACCAGCTGCTTGCTGAGCGCTGAAACTGAAATATCTTCGTTTTTTTTAAGGGAGTCTTAGATAACGCAGGCTTCCCAGCTGTGGTTACGGCGCATTTTGTTCCTGTGGAAGGTCAACAGCGACCTCGGACTACCATCTTGATAAAGTTTGCTGAGGAGGTAAAAGACTCCTTTTTGTGTGTGTGATTACCTAGTTATTTATCCCTCCGTCCCAAGATAAATGTCCATATTGAAAAAGGCATAGTTTTAGAAATGTGTAATTATTTCACTTTTTAATCAACAAATGATGATTTTACTCTTAATAATAGAGGGAGTACCGAATTTCTCCACCTCATTGTTAATGGTAATAATTGGAAAGTAGTTTGACACAACTTTGGGACGGAGGGAGTATATATTTGAGAGGATATGTGGAACCATTGTGAATCTCTTTCTTAAAAAAAATATTATTATACACGCACACATAAATATGTAGAGTCGGGTTTAAACGAGAACAGTGACCAAATAAAAGAACAGAAGAACGGTCAAATCACATGTGATTTTACATTATTACACTAAACTACCCATGTCAAATTTAAACTCTTCCACATTCTGACCTGTCTGGTCCAATCTCACTCGTATGTAATTTGGTTTATTCTTCAAGTTGCATAATGTTTGTTTTACTGATGTATTATTAACTTCGAAAGAAGTTTTAGATAACCTTATTTGGCATTTTGGCGTTACAGGTACTACGAAGAGAAGCAAGATTAGGATGATACGGTGTTTTGGCTTGATATTTGCATATGATATATGATTGAAATACAAGAATCAAACATGAAGACTTGAGACATAGAATTTGGCACAATAACTTTGATTGTTGAGGTGATTTTAATGTGTCATATTGCAAGGCCATTTGTGTAAATTTTAAATTGTATGGGTTCTTGAGAAAGATAAGCAGATTTTCTTTTTCTTCTTTTTGTTAACCGTTGTTGTCAAAGCCAGTCTGTGTCTATCTCAACTAATCTTATGGGACCCTGAAGATAAAGGTCATGAAAATTTTCAATGCCTCTGAGTCTTTAAGTTCTAGCCTTTATTTACCTGTTGAACTAGTCTTCAAGGTTCGTAACGAAGTTTGTTGGTGTAAAATAGAGTTAAAAAAGAGGGGGAACGAAACTTTATGCATACTTTCAATGTCCGGATCAAGAGAAGTCTCAGGTGGTACTAAAATGAAAAGAAAGGATTGGGAATCAAAACCATGTTTGAATTGAAATTGAGATATTGATACATGTTATTCCTTTCTGAATTAGATACATGAATATATGAAAGAGGTTGACAATAAGTTCTTTTAAAGTTGAATATTTATACCTACGGTTTAAGAGGTGTTATAGAAATGTCAACGATCGAATATAAATGTGGTGTACAACAATGATTTGTTTGTAAGGTTTAAAAAGTAATTAGATGTTTGATCTGGAAAAAAAATACCAAAATGACCCAAATGACGTTTCATACATTGAGCATATTTTTGGTATATTTTGTAAAGAGCATTAAGAGAATTTTTTTTATTAACCTGGATATTAAATTCTATATGTGAGCCAATTAATCTTAGGACGATCACATGCTTTGCAGATAGCCCGGAGTCACCGCATTTAAACTTCCATGGCCACAAAAGAATTTTTATTCTTCCTTGGATTTGAACCTGAAACCTCCTGGTACTTTTGACCTTTGAAGCCAAGTTCAAACCAATCAAGCACCACCCTTGTATGTTTGGACACCATATCAATATCATTCAAAGACGTTTTACCACAATTACCCTGCTTCTCTCTTCTATTAATCCAGAACACTTGCCAAACAATCATACTGTATTCATTATTAAATCATATAGACGTTTAAAATATTAATCAAACTATCCATTCAAAACACTTACTAAACAATCATTTTCCATTATGTGCTAAATCATAAAAAGCCTCTTAATTATTCTGCACAAAATCATTGAACTGATAACAAACACAGTATTACTTGATGATTCATCCATCAACTAACGCCTGGCTTTTCATCTAGTTTGATAAACATAATGATTAATTCATCAACTAGTTTTCAATGGATTTGCCAAAATACCATAAAACAATCTATATTCCAAACATGAATGTTGTGATCAATTAACAAGATCTCCATGTCTATTCTTACTCTTTTTCAAGTACAATAAAAAAAAGTTAAAACTCTACCACAATTTTTCATAGCCTTCAAAAAACATTTCACAGAAGGCAATGGCACCTCATATATATATATATATATATATATATATATATATATATATAGCAAGTAAAAGAATAAGAAGCATACACATAACACAAAAATTTAAAGAAAGAAATCACTCATTTCTTTCATCACCTTGCTCCGCTTCTAAAAAAGGAAGCGATGCTTTTGGTCGAAACTCAATGCCCGATCAGCCAATCGGAAATAATGACATGGCATTATCACTGTCACAAAACAAGGACAAGAAAATGTGTGAGCGTCTTACCTCCTTAATCATGAAATGCTAAAGACTTGTTTGTTAAGCATTACGTTTGGTATGTAGACAAGACCAGACGGTGAGCGTGAGGTAGGCAGATGTATAAGGTTTCAGGGTTTTTAATTTGACATGGGTATTTTAGTAATTTATAAATCTTGTTTCATCTCCCTAACACCTATTTTGATAGGGACCATTTGTCCTAGTCTAATATGCACCAAACATGGGACAGCAGGTTTCTATTCTGTACTGTCATACTTACAACATGCATTATGAATTTTCCCTTCCAATTGATTAACAGCAGGTTGATGTGGCAGGAAGAGTCAGCCATATAAGATTTTTATGTACAAAAATGAATAGCAAAAATCTTATCACTAACATATATTAGATTTCAAAACATTCAGATGAAGTGCATTTTTTGCATTCAACATCAATAAAAATGACATTTATCAAACTTGGATATCCGATAAATCAGGACGGAAGGGATGTTTTCTGCAAAAGGTTCGAGTGGAAAAGAGAACACACCAATGAGGTGTGAATGTGTGAAAAGTAAGACAAGAAAGAGGTTGGTCTAAAGTAGGCCTGTAAACAAACCGAATGTCCAGTGAACCGTTCGGCGGAAAGTTCGTTTATTTAATAAAAGAGCGAACATGAACAAGTTTTTTTGTTCGTTTAGTTAAACGAACGAATATGAACAAAGGTCTCGTTTCGTCTACTGATGATAACAAATTAAAATTTATATAATAGCTATAGATATATATATATATATAGATATATATATATATATATATTTGATCCTCACCACTTACAAACTCAGGTGATTTCCACTCACAAGTGGCTTGAGCTGATGTGGCTTGAGCTCTAGTTCGTTTAAATCTGTTCGTGCATGTTCGTTAATGTCCATTTAGCATCTTAACAAACGAACATAAACGAACACGAATACAACCATTTCTTAAACGAACACGAACACAACCATTTCTTAAACGAACGAACACAAACACAAAGAATTTTGTTCGTTTACTGTTCGTGTTTATTCGTTTGTTAGGTTAAGTTAAATGAAGAACACGAACAAGCCTCCATTCGTGTTCGTTCGATTCGTTTACAGGCCTAGTCTAAAGGAAGGGCATAAAGGCTAAAAAGTGGCTATATCAAAATATAGAGCTGCAGTGAAACTAAGGTGCTTAAGAGGATTTTATCTAGTGAAAGATGGTGGATGGTAATCACAACAGAATTCAAGTCAGTGTCAAAACAAAAAACATGTTGGTTAAGCAATCAAATAAATCTAAGCATTTGAAATTAATGTATAATCTTAAATGCTTCTCATTAATGGTTTATTGCTTTCATATACCAACTCTCTCTGTCCCAAAATAAATGTCCACAATGAAAAAGGCACACAGTCATTTTAGAAATATGCAACTATTACACTTTTTTAATTAACTAAATGACAATTTTACCCTTACTAATAGAGGGGATTACTAAATTTCTCCATCCCACAACTAAGGGTAGAATTGAAAAGTAGCCACTAACTTTTAAAAGTGGGCACTTATTTTGGGTATTTTGGGACAGAGGGAGCATACGTTTAACATACAACATTACAAGTCTCCACATGGATACACACCATCATCACCCTTGCAACTGTTGCTAACTTGTTATGAACAACCAAAATATTTTGGAAAGTTCATGTTTAATAAAAAGTCAAAACATTCCATTAGAAAGATGTTCTAGCAATTTTAAGTTTCGAACTGAAAAAGGTTGGTTTGTTTGGCTTTCATTGTTTTCTATCTACTATTTTGGAATAAAAGGGGAACTAAAACAGAATATTCATTACAATTTATATTTAGCTTTACTTTGTATGGCACCCACTTAGGCCCAAGCCCATCAAATATGTCTTAGGCATTCTAGAAGGGAATAGAAAACTTAGAAATTAGTCTGTTAACTAGCAGGGGGTATTTTGGGTAATATCTAGAATAAGTTGGTTGCTATGTAGTATTAAAAGGGGGGAGTGTAGAAGGTTTTATGCAGAAAGTGATTACTGTCATGGGAGACCCCTAGCTTCTCTAATTGCTAGTTACTTTTCTTTCCAGTTAATGGAAGCATTCAGCAACCCTTGATTACCATTTCTCTGTTCACTGTTTGTTTTCTGGTTCATAACATACTTTTCATCAGAGTTACAAATATTAAATTAAAATTTAATTTTGAACTTTGTTTGATTACACAAGCATTTGTATGTTTAACCCGCTGTAATTTGATTGAATGGACAAACGGGGCGACATTTATATGCTTGAGTATGAGTATAAATAATGTTATTAACAATATTTTTTGTTCAAGTATGTGAACAACAAGAAGTAATGAACAATCAGTAATATTTTTATCTATTTTGCCAATCATAATAAGCAACTTAAGCTTTACCTCTTTCTGGCTCTTGTTTTCAAGGTCACATGCATTGCTTTTACTCAATAGGGAGAATAGCACCAAGGTTCTTCTGAAGCGACCAGCCTCTAGGATAACCAAGTTCATGAGCTTCCAAATGGAGATGCCAGTTCATGATTTTAGAACATCCAAAGGGAGTACCTTCCATTTGGCTCTCATCTTCCACCAATTGTTCTATAAAGGTGGTCTCCTGAAATGCCAAATAAAACAAACATTGAAGTTTGATACAGCTTTAAAGTGAATGTCAAATCCATGGATGAAAAGAATATCCAAAAGTTAAAGGCAAATATAGATAATGCATACTTGGAAACCCTCCTTGACAGTGTCCAATTGACGAATCAAAGCTGAGGTGGGTTTTTTCCATCTCTTTGGATCCCACAAGATCGTGCTGTTGAATGCAAATCCTGACATATCGACGTGAAATCTTCGAAGCCTTTTACTCTTCTCATTTGTGTGCCATCCAATTACATGACTTCCATTGCACACAGGACCTTCCAAAACTGCCTTGTTTTTGCTTTGTGCAAGCATTGCAACTGGCCAAGTGCCAAAACGACTGCAGTCAGCAAAGTAAACAAAAAGCAACACTTTAGAGTTTAGACAAGGATGCAGTGATGAAAATAAGCACCGGAAAATCCTTCATAAATTTCAGACAAGACTTTATCTGAGCAATTTAGGAACATTCGTTCACAATTGGGCAAAGTAATAAACCCAACATCTAACTCCTCAAAAACATGCCATCATCTAGTGAAAAGGATTTCTCAGAAGGAAAATTTCCAGGAAAAAACAGTGTTAAAAGTGATTTCCTCTTCCCCTCAATCATGTGCAGGATCTTCCAATACTGCATCTTCATTATAGCAAGATATTGAGAGAATAATGTTGACTGTATTTTACCTTAAATAGAACACTAGCTACAGGCAGATTCTGTGGATCATGATTGATTTATTTATTGTATAGATACAGCAAGAATGCTATATAAGCATGTAATTTGTACAATCTCAATTTAACAGAAACCCATTTCTAGGAACAGAAAACAGGAGTTGGCAATTCGAGGTCATTGAGGAGGACAGATCTACCACTACATCAATCAGAGTGTTAGAAGATACGTTGTGAACTTGAATAGCTTTGTTAAGCAATCTCAATCGTTCTTGTATGGGTGTAGTATGTAGAAGTTATACTCTCCCCACCCACCCATGCACCACCTCCCTACCAAACAAAAAAATCACCCTTGCTCCAATTAGATATATAAGTACAGAAGATAGGTCTGCCTTGCACACCCGTTTCCGCAAACAAGTTTGTAAGCTAAGGCATTTTCAAATTTGTATTTATAGTTTTCTATTATCAATGTTGCAACATTATCCATTATGTACTCTAAAACTTATGGTGGGAACATAGGAAAGGATTGAGTTGACCTAAGAAAAACATGTTGTAAATCTAATGTGTGTAAATAATACCCTAGTGTAAACACTGCTCATTCATTTACATATGCTCCATTGTGTTTTTCTTTTTATTTCTCAGCTACAACCAACAGCACATATATTTGAAAGGATGTGTTGAATATGTTATAGCTCTTACGCTGCCAATCTAAAGATCTAACTAAGGATTTATTAGTCACACAAGTCATAGACAAAGGTAATCCATAACTAATTTGTGGCAAACATACACCATCTTTTTCATAACACATCAAGATTCATAGTCACAGTCACACACATGATGATGGTTTAAACATAGTAAACAGAACAATTAGAGGTACTAACAAGTAACAATAAGAAACAAAGTACCTGATTTCTCTCAAGGTCTCAAACAATTCGAGCGAATAGATATTATCATCATCTGCAAAATAGACAATGCCATTAAGCTTATGGTGCTCAATGTGTTCGAGTGCTCTATTCCGCTGATGAACCCCCCTGTCCTTCATATTCGTAAGATTCTTGGTGCATACCAAATGCTGATACATAATTCCCATTCCTCTAAGAATATCCGCAGTTTCTGTAGAAGCCGCATTCATCTCCACAACAATCCAAAGAACTGGCGGAGGTACAAGCCGAAGGACCTGCCCTAGTCTATTTAAATAAAACGCCTGAAGAGCTCGATTATAAGTGGGTGTCACAACTATTAACTGTTTCCTAGCAACATAATCAAACCTCTCTTTTACATTTTCTCTTTTCTCAACAGCTAATTCCACCTTCTTGACCACGATATCCTCTTTCACGTCTAGGATCGGTGGGTGATTGACCTCAAATGAAAAGTCGCGACTCTTAACATCTTCGAATTCACCAAACGGTGCCAAGCCTAACAAAAATCCTACCAAGAAAAACAACAAACAACTGTAAATCGATCTCCTCCACGTTCGGTAACCTTTCCGCGGAGGGCTGTGTTTTTCACCTCCTATAAATCTACGCACTCCAACGCCGAATGTAGACAGAGGCGAGGCGAATCTAGTGGTGGAATTAAGCTTATGCGAAGGAGAATTCAATGAAAAAGGACTAGTATTCCCTCCGTTTTGATGTGAGCGATCGTGATAAGGCGAAAGTGTTCTCCGAATCGAAGCCATCGATCATAGGGAATCCAATCTAATCAGTAATCACCATATTCAACACCTTCCCATCCCTTTCGTTCCAATAATCAGATTGGAATGGAGCAAAATGAAAGAAACGATCGTTTTACAGCTTCAACTTTCAAGCAACTAAATGATGAATACAAAGCAGAGAGCAATGAAATTCTTACTTGATTTGGAGTGATTTGAACAGCCAAATTGAGGCGACGATGGTAGAATCGAATCTAGGGTTTGTATGGATCTGGAACTGGAACTAGAACTAACATGCTGAATTTGATAGAAAACAACAACAACAACAACCAGTACCAGGTTGTAAACGCGTGTATTATTGCATTTGGGGATGAATCGTCGTATCCATATAAAAAAATTATTACTACTTTGCTGAGATTTTCAACAATGTTATTTATGTTAAGATTGTTTATAAAAATAATTTGTTTCTATTTTGGTGTGGTATTGATAATAAACATTTTTTAGTGTTTGGATAAATAATTTATATCCTTGTCAAACCGGTAATAAGCAATTTTTGAAGAAGTTAAATTCTTGTGACAATGCTTTTGTAAAAAAATATAAGTTATTTCAATTAAGTAATCCCAAACACCCCCTTAAACCATTTTGGTGTTTCATTGGTGTTGACATTCGGTTAGGATTGATTAAGGATGAAGATTTTTTCTTACATTTCTCAGTATAACTTTCCTTCTTACCGGAACCTAACCTTATATATGGGTCTAAAAATTATTTAACTCATGATTGAAATTAAAAGAAAATAAACTAATTACTTGAGGATAATTATGTCATTTTATATTTATCTGTAACTTTTGTGTCATCCTTATCTCTAAAATCACATAAAGATAACATGTTAATCGGTATCAAATAATTATCACATTATTATCACAACAAAATCACATAATAAAAGACAGAGCGATTAATATAGACGTGATTATCATCACAACATTATCACATTGCTATGAAAACAAAAATCACATAATTATTAGATAATTATGACATTAAATCACATTATAAAAAGTCTTCAACTTATCAAATCACATCATAAAAAGTCTTCAATTTATCAAATCATTMTCACATTATTATTATTATTATAGTAAAATCAGATAATTATCACATCATTATCGACAATGGACGCATCGACATAAAAAGTCTCTGATGATAATAACAAAATTTAAGAGATAAAGATAAATTTAGAATACATAAAATTATCGATAAATACTAATTAATTTTCATTTATTCTAATTTTTGTTATATGTTAATTAATTTTGAGGCCCAAAAGTGTTTTTGCATTTTTGTAAAACAGGAGTGTTCTCGTTTGAACCTTCCCTCCCAACACACACACACACACACACACACACACACACACACACACATATATATATATATATATATCAATTAGCTAATTACCTCAGAATCCTAATATTGTAGAATTTAAATCACATGAAACCTCGTTCCTTAATACTCCCCCTTAAGTTGGAATGTATATTGTTGGAGTGTATGCCGATTGCACCCAAGTTGTTTAATAGTGTAACAAGTTGCTATAACTCAAAGGCTTTATGAACAAGTCTGTCGGTTCCTGGTTGTTCCTTTGTACAAACATTTACAGTCTTGACTAGCTTTTTCAAATTTCTCACGCATCACATGACAGTTTATTTATATGTTTTGAATGTTCATCAAACACAGAGATCGGATGTTATGTGTATTGCAACTTAATTATCGCATAACAACTTAACTGCATGTATATGTTCAAAGTTTAAATCCTTCAGTATGTTTCATAGGGCCATGTTATCTCATAACATATTCTAGTCATGGGAATGTACTCTACTTTCGTGTGTGATTGTGACAAAGTTCCTTGTTTCTTTGTCTTCCCAGATATGGGCGCATTACTAAGGAAAATGTAACAACCAGTTATAGTTGTAGACCTCCTTGTATCCTTACATCTGATCCAATAGCAAGTAGGAGGATTCCTTGTCCTAGTGTCCAAATTATGTATCTCAAGACCTTGTATGTTGCATCTAGATGAGTTTTTTTTGAAGTTTATCTATAAATTGACTTAGAATGTATACAACAATTGTTAGGTATAGCCATGCGATTGTCAGGTATATGAGCCTGCCAACCAATCTTCGACATGGAGAACCATCTTGTAATAAAGATTCAAATTCTTCCGTCAATGTAAAAGTTGTGTTCAACAAGAAATCGAGATTGCTTAGCACAAAGAAAACATGCATCTTCTAGTACTTCGAGCACATACTTTCTTTGGCATAAAGTAATAACTTGCTTATATCTTGCCACTTTTATTTCGAGAAGTCATGTCTTTCAACTTAAACTAATTACTTGATAAGAATTGTTTAGTGTCCTTAGTGTCATTCAAGCTATACACTGTCAATATAACACTGCCAACACAAACTAGCAAAGTAGTGAACTTTCCTTGAGAATTTCGAACGAATAAAGAATAATCAGATATGATTGCTTGAATCCAGTAGCCTTAAGGGTCATCAAAAACTTTAAGAACCATGTCTTTTGATGCTTGTTTTAAGTTGTATAATGATTTATGTAGCTTGACACATTGAGTCCCCCCCCCTTTTCTGTAACACTATATTTTAGGGGCATTTTTGTAATTATGGTATTTTTAAATACCCAAACATTTCAAAATATTAAGATGGTAAATGTTTCAATTAGAAAACTAACAAGGAAAGAGAAACATAATATATTAATTAGATGGCAAGTACACCATCTTTTTTCTATCACTTCATTCATGTAACAAGACCAAGGTCAAGTGAGAAGTATGGGAGGTATGATCAAGGAAAAGATATGATTGTGAAGTAAAGTGACATGAGAAAATATGGTGGGTATCGCTTATCATAAATTGTTGAGTATAAAAGAAAAGGTTCTCCACCTTTCTTGGGTAAAATCAGAACTACAAAAGAGAGAAAGGAGAAGAGAGATTAAAGAGAAACAATGGGGTTCTTGAAGGTGAAGAAAAATACATACTACCCACTTGAGGTATAATCATCTCTCTGTTATTGCTATTTTCATATAGGATCAGTAGCCTAGTATTTTAGGAGGTTTTATATTAAATCTTCATTTGTATGTAAAAGAAAATCGAATAGGGGTGTTGTTTGGAAAAATTGTTGATCCAAACTCTCGTAGTGATTTGATGATGACCCTCTATACTTACTTCTATTCAATTTCAATGATCATCTCTAAGTTTGTTCAGTGATTGTTGAACATGTATTTGTAAACTTATCAAAGAACAAGTATTCATCAAAGACAAAACTCACATCAAAGGAACCTTTAGCGATGTTGAAGAAGTAGTTGAAGATAAAGATATAACAATTCATGACCTGAAGTGGATTCAGTGATAACAAAAATGTCTAAATCAAAGTGTGAAATCTAACCAAGACTCAGCGAATACTGAAGAATCTTTGGAGATGAATTGGTGTCAGCAATCAAATTAATCTTGCTCTAGAAGATTAGCTTTTGTCCTCATGCACAAAAAGGACAACCCTCTACCTCACACAGAAAAATGCATGTATAGAGTTACTTTATTGTCTACAAACGTGTTTACCAACTTTGTGAAGGACAACTGTTCATATGCAGTCAAAAGCCTGCATATCTAAAGACAAAGAACAAGCTCTCCATTAGAAGTTTGCCACGTAACTTGTACCCTCTGACTTGCATTAAATGCAATGTGTATAAATAACTGAGAAGACTTCTCTTCTTAGCAAGCACCTTCTTCTTCTTCCAACTCTTTTATCTCTTGTTCTTATCTCATTTTGTGCAAACTGTGTGTTTCTTAGATTGTTTAGATTAGGTATTAACCTTATCTTCTTCCGCAACAATCTGTAAACTCTATATTAATCTCCTTTTATCCATAAACGAATTTGAAAAATGAAAATTGTGTGTTTATTTTTACCCCCCCTCTACAAATTGTTACCTTTAAAACTCTTGTAGATTCGTTTGGGATCAACAAAAACAACAAAGAATCAAAAAAGTATGTCTCCCTATAAATTTCGTCATAAATTTATGGTTTATCAAAATATACGTTTATGGAAAGCTTGAGATGTGTTTTACAAGTATTGTCAAGACTTCATCCTCTTATTTTAGTTTTAAATGGGTCAAAATTGAGGATATTTTGTAACTAGTTGGATTTTAGATGAAAACAACACATTGATTTTCAAAAAAATGTATAAAATCAAATATAAATCCGACTCAGATGATTATTGAATATATACAATCACAATAAGGTTTTTCTATAGTTTTATTTTCCTGAACCCTGAAACCTCTGGGAAGTAGGAGAAATAATTAGGTTTTATAACATGTTTGGTATTGGAATATGATGTTCTAACTTAAGAAAATCAGGTCATGTTAGGGCGCATGATTAGGAGTTTATGAATGAATGTAATGGTTGATACATGACCTAGTAATTTTGATATGATATGCAGAAGGTTATGGAGGTAACGTGAATAATCTAAGACTGATTTTTAGATTTACCCAATAGCTACAAGGTGAGTTTTCATGTGCTTTTACCATAGGATGCATGCTACGTATAAAATGTATTTTATGCATGAATGTATATGTGATGAAATGTTATGACGTATGGTATGTGTACGTTATATAATACAGGTATGTGGAATAAGGAGATAAGCCTGCTAAATAATTTAATGACTATTTCTTAACCCATGTTTATTATGGACAATTGCACATGTTTTAAGTGTTTTGGTGGTATGCATGGTCGTGTTACTGGGACACCAGGATTTAAGCAAACGGGTAGTTACTGCCTAAACCATTGATAGATTAGCGACCGCATCATACGATACAGATAAGATCTCAATTTACTATGTTTAGAAATTGTTTTAATTGGGGGCACAACTATGTATGGTATCATTATGTGCATGCTTTTTATGCAATTACTTGTGGAAAAAACCATGAATTCATTGAGCTTTATAATTGACTAGTTTCATGCATCTCAAAGGCAAGATCTTCCAAGTTATTTAACTTTGATGTCGATACTTTATTTTTATGTGTTAGTTTGTATAGGATGGATTATCTATTGGATATTAAAGGTTGTGAGATTTACTCTGGTTTGGAGTTTATCGATTATGTTATAATGATTGTTTGAATGAAATATTGTTGTTTTATGATTGCACGATGTAACAGCATGGGATGAGATTTAAGGGTTGTTTGGTTCGTAGAATTCAAAGTATTTCAAGGGATTTGGAATGATAAAATTCCTTTGACCAATTTCCAACTACTTTGTTTGGTTCACATATTGAAAATCTATGAATCATTTGA